AGGAACCAATGGAGTTCAACTGAGTCTGTTGTGATATAGAAACTTACTGAAGATAATGGTGGGTGTGTCGCTCAATTTTATGGATTACTTGAAGTTTGATATTAACATCATTGAATACCAGCTAAGTGGTTAAGAGGTTAAGCGTTCGCACACGAAACCGATATGCTTTGGGTTTGAATCTCGCGAGGTGGGATCATGGATGCGCATTGCTGATGAGTACCGTAATGGGACAAAACGACCATCCAGTCCTTCCTGGTTTTCCATGGTGGTGTAGCTTCAAGTGACTCATGATCATAACGACTGAAAGAAATATTTACTTAATAGTTGAATTCATGAGTCAATTAAAGCTAGTCTATCTTGTTAAACTTTGAAGTACTAGATGGCCTTTTCGTTCTAGTATGGTATTACTTAACAGTATGCATCTATGATCCCACTTAAGGAATTCGAACTCAATGAGATGGAAAATTGAAGCAATCTTATTTCTTAAATTGTACTTTATTGGATTTCGGATGACATAATGTATCCACTTAATTATATTTGAAATAATAACAATCTGACACTATTAATAGCTAAAATGCTTACTAATTTGAAACTTATTTTATAAAATAACTAGGGTAGTTAAAGTAAATATCAATTAAAGTACAAATAACTAAATATTGAAAGTATATGTCACAATGATTCATTGAATTAATAATCAGTTAGTCTATTAAACGCTTATGACTGTTGCCCCATTTCATTCAGCTCTTTAGTATGCAAAATATTTTATAAGTGTTAAAAGAGATTGTGAAAAGTGAATGAACTAATGGAACTTCTCTCTTTGTTTTATGAAGTTGTTGAAATATGTATCATTTATTGTAGATCGTTAAACTTCTTCAAAGTATACTGTTATCAAGTTATCTACCTGAAGAGTACTTTAAATTATATTTTGAATTGTTATCTCTAATGAATAATAGAAATTACGTCATTCATATTATATAGTTTCATATTTGTATGCTACCATAAATTCATTAAAATCATAAGATTCTTACATACAATAAAAAATGAGATGCTTTTGTTCATCCTTACAAAATTATTTTGTTTGTTTGTTCACATTTTAGTGTGCATCAGTTTATTAACAATGAATTAAAAGATTGTAATAGTAACTCACCCATTAACACTATCTTCCATATAGTATATAGAAAATGGAATATTAAAACGTGAAACAATACAAAACTGTACAATGAATTAGTGAAATTCGACTAGCATAGAAATTCAAAAAGTACTTTTCGTCCTGTTTGAGACTTCTCAGTTGAATGTGTATGCATCCAAGTGTTGATATTCACATTGAGGCTTGAACTCAATGGCTTTCTCTTCAAACAAACATCGAGTTATCTACCAGACTACTGAGTCCAAATAGTCAAATTTTATCTAACAAGAACGATTTTCACCTTGTTATTAGTATGAATTATCCTAATGTTTATTTAAAGACTGAGTTTTAATCGCTATTTGTTGGCATATGGTTGATAGTTGATAGAAATTCATTCATGAACATCAATAACAAAATAATTCAAACGCGCGTCCTGGATTCCACTGCTATCCACTATCCATCTTTGCTTATAATGCTTGTAAATAAAGGTAATATCGAGGCATACGCACAGTATGCACATATGCCAATATGAGACTGATCAACTTCAGTCATAAAACATCAATGGGGAGATTCAAGTAAAACAATATCAAATGAATCATAATAATAATGGTTTGAAATGTAACACCAGATAGATATCTCCTAATCAAAGCATCAAAAGTAACTTTATATTTTCAGTTTCCTTAAGCAGTCAAATTATATCTTTGACGCCTAATAACATTAAAATGGACTATCTCTGAATAACATTTTCGTATATCGTCGAGCTCCATATTACACAACTGGATCATAGCATTTACAAGTTATTACTACATATCAAAGAATAATAAATGTCACTGAATTAAGGAATACATATGAAAACTACATGCGTCATCTTGATGCCGTTGGTTATTGTGTACATTCGATTAACTGACTGCAATCTTTCATCAATGTGCATGTTCCATATATATGAAATTGACTACGTTAGTATTTATGTACTTATTCACTGTACTAAGTATGTGACCTCACGCACATTACTTAAACAGCCCCCACATTGATTTGGCATGTTTCAAATCCACAATACTTACATCTGTTCACTTTTGAGATTTATGCTTAAAACTATATACATAAATTACAATATTCTCACATTTCATGTACAAGATTTGATGACATATCGATCAAAATGACAAGTTTACAAAATGAATAAAAAACTAGTCTAGTAAAATGTATAAAAGGGGAACAAATCAAATATGAGAATGGATAACTAACACAGTCAGACAGACCTATAATTTATATACTCTGGTAAAGTTTGAAATAAATACTTTCTTAATTATTTCTTTTTATATCATTCATCCTACATTATATAACCACTAAGATTGAACTTTATTATAATAACTGTTGCAATACCATACATCAAAGTGTTAGCTAAATTTGAGAAAAAACGAGATCTTCAATTAAACCGCTTATACAGAAAAGATCATAACTAATTAATAAACATTCTTGTTTCAACAAGAAAAGTTCTGTATTTACAAAAGTACAAAAAAATCTTTTCTTAATAAAATATGAAAAATTTTTTTTAATTTAAAAAAAATAAACAATAAGGAAGAATTCATTGCTTAGTGTATCTCATATCTACCCGAGGTATCTCCCTATATAACTAACTTACTACTTGACAGTTTGTTACTACATAACAACTACTCATACTGTTATAACAACTACTAATCTAAACAGTATAATCATCATTCTTTTGTATTAGAATTTCAATGGTGGTCTAACATCAATCAGTTCATGATCTCAATCAAAAACTTAACAATCTCCATAGCTGCTATACAGTTTAGAATTAATCATTTCACTAAAGTGAATACCACTCAAAATTTATCGATCAATTGAAGAATTAAAAAAAAACTATTGACAATAGCATATTTAAAACGGAAATCATTGTAAATCTCATAGTAGTTGTTTGTTTGTTTGCTGTTGTTTCTTTTATTTTTTTATTTTTTAATTTTTGTAAACAATAAACTTGTATTAAGATTTTTAGATCACTTATGTGTCTGTCATTAAACAACTAAATTTCATTACTCTCTTCTATCTTTCTTTTTTCTTCCGTTCTATTTATTTATTCTTTAAAACATATAAAAAGAACATTTAAGAGTATTTGTCATTCATCATTAGTATGTTGAAAAAAAAGGGGAAATATATTTTTATTTCAGTTTCTTTTAGATCCTTGATTTTTCCAAGTTTCATGATGGTTAGTTTTATGAAGAGTTACATACAACCCTCTAATTGTTAAACATAAATGAAGTTATTTATTTATTTTTACTGATTTAAATATAAAATAAGATAGGAAGTCGATTGTGAATCGTCTTTTATTTTTACTTTTTTTCATACGTCAGAACAATTATTGTATTAATATTTTGATGAGCAAGAATTTAAAGATAGTCCTTTTTATCTTTTGGTATAAGTTTAATTGGTTTTCAATGATTTTGATGAGTATGCTTAAAGCATATAAATATACCTCTCTCTTTATATATATATATATAGCATGATCTTACCTTAGAAAATATTTTTTTGTTATTTTCAGTTTTGTTACCGTGGATATTGACCGATTTTCTGACCTGCTACTTATAGTTATAAATATCACCAAATTATAAATGACAAATCTTAATGAGATTTTGCAAAGATTTATATTATATTGATTAGGTTTTAGAGAAATTTTTATCAGTTGGGGGGTTGTGGCGATTGTTAAGTTTTTGATTGAGATTATGAACCGATTGATGTTACACCACCATTAAAAACATGGAAGCACTGGACAGATAATCACCATGTGCTCATTAGTGACTAGCTTCGTGAGAAAATTCTCGGAGTTCTGGTGAGAAGCCGTGACCAGTGGAGCTAATTCGTGTCGGGTAGAAAACAGGTGTCCACCTCAGTACAATAGAAGATGATCGCCCAACTTTGCAGATTGATTGAGGATAGACATCAACACCATTGGGTACCGGCTCAGTGGTTCAGTAGGTTAAGCGTTCGCGCGCGAGACTGAAGGCCCCGGGTTCGGATCCCGCGTGCGGGATCGTAGATGGGCACTACTGAGGAGTCCCACAATGAGACGAAATGGCCGTCCAGTGCTTCCAGGTTTTTATTGGTGGTCTATCATCTATCGGTTCATGATCTTAATTAAGAAATGTTTGTGTCGTTTTCAAAAAATCCTCATTATTAAAATAAGATATAAATTCATATTCAATAAATAATTGAACTATAGACTACTTATTAATAAGTCTGATAGTTAAAGAAGAAAACATGGAAACTTAATTATCTAGGACAAAACAATTTACGCACAAAAATATCTTTCCATGATTAATATATTTTCTACATAACTTAAAATTGTACCTACATGATAGAAAATTGAACAGATTTCGATAATCAGCATAAATCTTATAATTCTTTTGTTTTTTTTTAATATTTGAAAGATGTTGATCAAAGTGTTTCAGTAAAACTTTGGTTATTTTTTTCATAAAGAACAATTCATTTGGCTTTATAAAATTAAGGTAAAATAATCTTATAAAGATAAGAAATAGAGTATCATTTTCATCAAGACTGATTTTGACAGCCTGAAATTTTATCGGTAAGATATAATGACATATAATAAGACCTGGGTTTTAATCTCGTGAGGTGGGATCGTGACTGCGCACCGCTGACAAGTGCCACAAGACGACGAACCGGTTGTGCAGTGCATCTAGGTTTTCCATGGTGGTTTAATTTCAATTGACTCATCTAAACTATTGATATAATTTTTTCTTTGTAAAATTAAATTAAATTGTAAAATGCTTCCACAGAATTAGACTAATCATAATTGAAATATTATTAAATTAGAATAAAATGTTATTTATACGAAAGGACTTACCTAGAAAAGTAATCTGTATGAACATACCAATATGTCCAATAGATAAACCAATCTGCCAATTCGTGAGCATTCCAACAAAATATCCTAAAATTGCACTGATCATTAAAGGGAATACAAATAGCAATTTGCTAAATTTCAATGGTATTGGATTTTCAAGACGATTAAGGTTGTGTAGTTCACCTGTTTTACAAAAAGTATAGAATATTCATGGTTACGATTGTACTAAACCTATGAAGTTGAATGAAAAATATTGCTTTCTTGCTATAATCCAATCCGTACAGAATGCTTATATGCCATCAATAGACGGATCAGTTGCAGTCCTAAATAACAAACAATCAAACAACTCTAAGTAAATTTAAAATTCACGCCACTGCATGAGCAAGTGGCTATAAAGACTCAGTAGCTAAGTAGATAACGCGATGGCGTTTAAAGCGAACGTTATTGGGTACGAGTTCTGGAGTGATCATCTACACTGGGATTCAGGTGCCTCCAGCTGACGGGTCCTAAAGAGGACATTTGTTATACTCTATATGAATTTAGCCTTACATTTTTCACATTTTATATTGCTAGATATATAGCTAAAAGTTTGTTAAGAATAAATTCCAACTTTCATCGTTTATGAAACAATGTGTAAAAATAAAAATATTTTTGTATGTAAGTATCATTAGTTTAGCTTGAATCCACATTAATTAATGGCAAACAAATCAATGAGCAAAAAGATATTTTGTGCTTCATCTATATCAACTATTTCATAAATATTTGAATTGATATGTGTACATATGTACCACATATCTAACTTGGTGTCCTCAGCTATGAAAAGTTTTGTTACGGTGTATTACACAAAGGTGACAATATATTATAAACTGTACTTCCGGTAGTTAATAACATGTTTAAATATTTTAAATTGTAATCAATAGTAGTTTTTTTTTACTCAAAAAGATTATGAAAAAGTAAAGGATTAAGTAAAGAATATCTAAAATAACTAAATGATTCTTGTACTGTCTTATTTTCCTGATTATCAGCACAATCATGTAGGATCGATGAAATGTAACTCAGTGCTAGACAACAGGTGGATCACTGAATGAAGAACAGTTTACTAAGATTTCCCAAAGTCATTGCATGAAATTAACTTCTCATGAATTTACTTTTGTAAGATCATGTTTTGAAACCATTTTAAGCAGATATAAAGAATCATAAGATAAAGTTAAATTTAACTGGACTACGAATGTGGTTCAATAAACATTCAGCTCATTTTTCACTCAATAAAGGTATAGAATAAAACAGACAATGTCAGTGTTTGCAGATCAGACAGTACGATCCAAAATAATAACTGCAGCATCTCTGGCGAATATTTAGAAATAATCTACGCAGATTATTCTGACATTGATTACTAGATTATCATTATCGTCACATCTCAATGTGATGGTAGGTTATCATTAACTTCGTTAGAAAAAACAATATATCAGTGAAATTTTAAATAACCGTTAATAAGAACACGATGAATCACCTACATTATATTGTAATAGATAACGTATTAGCATCATACTTTGTGAATACACTATGCAGAATAAGTATAATATTACTGAGAAAGTTATATTGTTGTGAATGTTAGTATACAATGTCAACAAGAATCTATAAAATCATACTTAATACACATTCATTGTGCTGAAAAAAACTGAAATGATAATTGTAATGTAAATTCAGGGAATGAAATCAGAGTTTAAAGAGAAAAAATGTCCTAAATTGTAATGACCTTTATAAAATATTAAAAGATCAAGTACTTTTGCGGTGTAGGTTACTTACATCCTTATAAGTAGTATATAACAGTGGTGAGGAATAAAATGTATTTCCGTAGAAAATCAGGAAGGAAAGAACGGGAACAGAACGCAATTGGTATGAAAATGCATGAACAATGAAATTTGAGACGATGGATTGATATTTTGCAAATTAATTATTTACTACATGGTTCTCAGATTTTTTTTAGATGCTCTGTAGTTTCATGTCAAATATATTCGATTGTCCTCACTAGTGTTCTTGTTCACTAAACTATACCTCTGTATATTTTCAAATTTCACAGATTCATTTTGAACTTCACATTTTGGAGGATAACTCCGCCTGTAGCTCTTATAGGGTTACTGCCGGTCCCAAGCCCGGGTAAAGGAGGAGGGTTGGGCATGGGGTTAGCGTCCCCATCCCGTAGAAAACTAACTCGCTAAAATAACGCTTACCAGAAAAAATAATTCAAACAATTTAAACTCTGCCCTGGGAGTTAGGTCTTCATTTAGAAGAATTATGACGCTTCATGGTAAAAGCCCAGTTCCTTCGGAAGCCACGAGGCCGATGCCCCTTCTAACAACCAGAGCGACAATTTTTACGGGTACATGGAACGTCCGAACAGTGTGGAAGACCAGGAACACCAGTCAAATAGCAACGGAAATGAGGAGATACAATTTGTCAGTACTGGGAATCAGCGAAACCCACTGGACCCAAACTGGACAGAAAAGGCTAGCTACGGGAGAGATGCTGCTATACTCCGGTCACGCAGAGGGAAATGCTTCACACACTCAGGGAGTCGCTCTAATGCTGTCCAAATTAGCACGAAATGCACTTGTATGATGAGAATCTCACGGATCCAGAATCATCAAAGCATCATTCAGAACAAACAAGGAGCGGATCACAATGAATATTATCCAATGTTATACACCCACCAATGATAGAAACGACGACATCAAGGATCAGTTCTACGAGGGGCTGCAGTCAGTCATTGAGAAATGCCCAAGAAAGGACCTCACCATTCCAATGAGAGATCTAAATGCCAAAGTCGGAATAGACAACACTGGATATGAAGATATTATGGGACGACATGGACTGGGAGAAAGAAACGAAAATGGAGAAAGATTTGCAAATCTATGTGCATTCAACAAATTGCTCATACGGGGCACAATATTTCCACACAAACGTATACACAAGACTACATGGATCTCACCGGACCACACTACAGAAAACCAGATAGATCATATTTGCATCAACAAAAAATTCCGAAGGACAATGGAAGATGTGAAAATCAGGATAGGAGCTGACGTAGCTTCAGATCACCACCTAGTTGTGGCCAATCTAAAACTGAAGCTAAAAAGAACTGGACAAGTGGACAAACAGCAATACAAAGGTTCAATACAGCCTTCCCTCGAGATACTGACAGACTCAATGAATTCAAGATAGCTCTCAACAACAGGTTCCAAGCCTTACAAGATCTATGGAGTTCCTGAGAAAATTGTCAACACTATCCGGAACTCATACGACGCACTACAGTGCAAAGTCGTGAATGGAGGAAAGCTGACAGATGCATTCCAAGTAAGGACCGGAGTCAGACAAGGCTGTTTACTCTCTCCCTTCCTCTTTCTTCTGGTGGTCGACTGGATTATGAAAACCTCGACATCTGAAGGAAAACACGGAATTCAATGGACAGCTCGAAATCAATTAGACGATTTGGACTTCGCAGATGACGTAGCTTTCCTATCACGTACACACGAACAGATGCAGATGAAGACAGCCAGTGTAGCATCAGTCTCTGCATCAGTAGGCCTCAGCACACGCAAAGGGAAAACCAAAGTCCTCAAATTCAAAGCGGAAAACAACAATCCAATCACTCTTGATAGCGAAACTCTGGAAAATGTAGAGTCCTTCACATACCTAGGAAGTATCATCGATGAACAAGGAGGTTCAGATGCAGACGTAAACGAGAGGATTGGCAAAGCAAGGACAGCATTCCTACAATTAAAGAACATATGGAACTCAAAACAACTTTCAACCAATATCAAAGTGAGAATCTTCAATACCAACGTCAAGGCAGTTCTACTGTATGGAGCTGAAACTTGGAGAACTACAACAACCACCATCAAGAAGGTACAAGTATTTATAAATAGCTGTCTTCGCAAGATACTCAATATCCGTTGGCCGGATACCATCAGCAATAGCCTTCTGTGGGAGAGAACAAACCAACTTCCAGCTGAAGAAGAAATTAGGAAAAGACGATGGAAATGGATAGGACATACATTACGCAAATCATCAAACTGCATCACGAGGCAAGCCCTAACTTGGAATCCTGAAGGGAAGCGAAAAAGAGGAAGGCCAAAGAACACATTGCGTCGGATAATAGAAGCAGATATGAAAACGATGGATTACAACTGGACGGAGCTAGAAAGGATTGCCCAGGACAGGGTTGGATGGAGAATGCTGGTGAGCGGCCTATGCTCCTTCACGAGGAGTAACAGGCGTAAGTAAGTAATTATTTTGGAGGATGAATTTATACTAGAGAATAGAATGACATATCAGTATTAAACTGATGTATATCAGTATACTTTTGAAAAGAATGAATAAATAATTCATTGGTTTTGTGTATTTCATTTAAATACTGAATCATAAACGTGTAGAACTAATTGAATAACACAAAAATTACTGAACAACTGTTATTTACATAGTATTTTACTTTCTTCATATTTCTAGTCAAATTGAAAAGGAACAACTTACTTGCTAGTTGTGAAAGATATTCTTTATTATTTTGTTGAGTGAAAATCCCAACAGTCATAGGAAAATTTGACTGTCTACAAGTGAACATATCTGCTAATACACGAATTGTGTTTGCAGCATGATTTTCTACATTTGGTGAGTTACTTTCTATGGGAATGTTATAAGCACCTGTTATAGAAATAAATTTAAAAAAATCATGTGTATTTATGTGAGATAATTAATAGCTTTCTGGTAAAATTTAATATGCAAAGATAGATAGTGACTAGCAGTGGAATTCAGGATGTGAGTTTCGTCCTATTTGGGACTCTTCAGCTGGATGAACCTGCATTCACACAGTTGATGTTTACTGTCTGAAGATACAAACATACAATTGCAAATTAATTTAAAATTTAATATGTTTAAAAGCATTCACTTTATCTCACTAATTCATTATTATGTATATAATATAATATGGCTTCTTAACTAAATTATCACTTAAATTTACGCAGATATTGTTAAATGAACTGAATGATCAACTATATATATAAGCAATGCTTTCTAGTAAACGGAGGTTATATAAAAGACATTAAATACATCTGTTTTATCTTTTATGAATGTGAAAAGAAACTAACAATAATAAGGCGTGGAATAACGTATTTAGATAGAATAAATAAAAATGTTTACTAAATACATGGTAATGAAGACAGTAAATGATAGAATCTAATCAGTATTAGGACGTTTACGAGAAGAAACAGATTAATATCCAATAAACAATCATTGAACATATTTCAATTTCACAGGGGGTCGGTTTAGGCCCAAATCACTCATTTGAAACGTACAGGACTACGACACTGTCTGATGAGGGTCATACCACTACATGTAAGATCATATTCGTCAAGAGTGAAAACATGCCTTGTAAACGAGTGCATTCAACAAATTTACATTGAAATAAACTGCTAATCATTTAGTTATCAACTAATATATGGCACATATAAGTAACCTATGTAAAATCCACAGTATTGGCATCACCATTTTCTGTAAAAGTCACTTAGAGATATAAAGTGAATCAAATCAATTGGGATAAAATTTAAATATTGACCTTGATTGGAGAAATTTATTTTACATTTCATACATTAAGATAAACGATGACGTATTTTCTAAAATTCTTGAAGCACCATTTTTAGTTAACTGGTTTCATGTTAAACATTTCTTATAGTATTAGTATGCTCATAATAACAATGTTCAGTTAATGATTAATAATATTCTTCTCATAAATAAAAGAAAATTAATGAATATAATATTATACACTGTATGTTAATTTCACAACACTTGTTACTATATATACTATCTAAAGCTCTGATCATTTTACAAAGAAATCATCAACCCATTATTACCATATCTATAACTAAATACTGTCAATCTTAAATCAATACATTTTTCTAAAATAATTTCCACATTTATATGTTTTACAATATAATATCATAATTTTTATGGCTGTGTACAAGTGAATTTCAACTCTTAAGCCGGATGTATTACTGTACTTGTTATATGTTTTTTTTCTCTTTATCTTAGCAACAAGCAACAAACACAATAAATAGATTTACAGAATTTATCGATTAACTTGATAATAATATGAATGACCGTTCTTTTCGCAATTATACCTTCTGTTCGAAACAGTTGTGTTTTCTTTTTTGCTGTTGTTAAATTCACTTATTTTGTTTACCGTTTTATGGTTTTATTTAATTTCCTTGAAGTTTATAATCTTTAAGTAGATTGTTGTTGAAGATTTATCTACTTAACTCTTTCTATTTCCTATCTCTCAGTTATTTAATTAGTTCTGTAGACTATTTTACAGTAGAATTAAGGTGAGAGAGAATTAATAAAAAAATTGCTGGTTTCTTCTAATACAGAAAATTTTCTGTTATTGAAAATCTATACATAGGAATATACATATAGAGTGATATGCTGTCTTCATTAGAATAGATAGATAACAGAGTTTCTACATCTGTTGACATGACTGGAAGGTATTTATTATGGTATAAACATCGTTTGATACAATTTTCAGTTCAAAATCAATAATGATGATAAGAAAGAAGATATCTTAAATCAATCTTTCTTTCTGTTGGAAATTCTCAAAAGACTATTTTGTTTTCGTCAAAATACTTGATATTATTAGCAAATACAGACATTTTTATACAAGAATATTAAAATGTGGCATACTTTAGCCCTTTATTTGTATTAGCAAAATTAAAAATCTATAAGGCGAAGATTTTGTACTCATACAGAGAAGACAGTGTATCAAATCATAACTCTACAACTCGATCCTTTCAAATTTAGAAACTTCAATCTCAGTTAAAAAAACATGATTTGAAACAATTAGCAATAATAATCATTCTGTTATCATAAAACAATATAATTCATCAAGTAAACTAAACTTATAACTTACTCATATCTGTATATGGTTCAAGTCCAATATCATTATTACTAATAACTGAAGAATGCATTAATCCTGATTCTTTAACATTTTTCATACAATCTAATGAGTTTCTCATAAAATTGTTTGTTTGTAATTTTCTCATACGATCTTGTATCATAATTCATTAACATACATTATGATTGTTTTCATTATATTTGATATTTGATTCATATATCTTATATTTTTGTTTGAGTATTTTTAATTGAATCGGAAATATGAGCTCAAAATTTTCATTATTTAATATGAGTTCACTTTGTTTCATTCTACTATCGACTTTTATTGAGATGGTTTTATATGCTGATAAATAAAAACGGCTGAAATGTTTACTTGTATTTCTTTATGGTTATGTAAGTGATTTTCATTGCCAGTAATATTTCAATCTAAGTAGATCAGAATAAATAAAATAGAAGAAATTGTTATTAGATAAATGTATATATTTAATAAATAAAAAATCACTCGAATGAAGCTGGTAAAAACTTTATGATCTATTACTTAACACACACACACACTATAGTTAATTTTGTAACGGTACACTATTAGTTTCCTTGGTACCTTACCTTTAAAAAAGCATAAGTTGTGAACATAATTATAAGAATAATGTGTACATATGAAATAAACAACGGAACGCTTGATGTCAAAGAGTTTTCAGTTGAATTTCCCTGAGATTTCACATTATTTTGTGTGCTTAATTCCTATTAAGACAGAGAAAGAAAACTATTTTCCTCTCGTGCAAACTATATTAAATGTAAAATGTCTCTGTAAGCAGTGCTTGATTAACTGTATTTTTAGTGAAAATCATATTTTAAAACAGACTGAAAAATAAAATTTTAAATTACTCAATGTATAACTCATAAACTAATTGAATGAAATTTCTGAATGAGCTACTGGATTGATATTTATATACATTGTTTACTTTTACACTATTAGTTCTCAGGGCAACCTTTCTACGTAATTGCATAGATAGGTTTTCTTAACTTAATACTTGTGACTCAAACATTTTCCAAAATTCAAACGGGAAGTTCAGGAATGTTCATCAGTTAATTTATGACAGAATTTGAGATTATATCACAAGTTAACAAGTTTATACTAATAAGTCGTGATGACACTCATTAGTTTATTCCAAACAGTCTATGATTAATGCCTACAATCATTCCATGATGAAATCAGATAGATAATTGAAAAAAAGAAAAAAGCTAACGTTATTGAACTTCGTTTATCTAAAGAAAACATATTTTACTATAGAATACTGACATTAAAGCACAGCATTGCTATACATTCAACAACCAATTCATTGTAAGAATTGAACTGGAGTCAATCAAATTAAAAAAACTATACAATTATCACCATTTGTTAAAAGCAAAGATGGATTTCCATTGATGTTTAAAAGTGTAATTGACTATTCTCTTATTGGCTTGTAACTTAAGTCATTATCGAGGCAATACTCACATATACCAATAAGAGATTGATCAAATACAATCCTAAACGTCAGTCGGAAGATTCAAGTAAACAATACCAAGTGAATTTATCATCATTTAGTTCACCATATTTATAATCACCATAATCAACTAAATATGTATGAGAACAAAACACTACAGTCTTTTAAAGAACAAAATAAAGATCTAAATGCTGTTGTTTCTTGAAAAATTCAATTTTCATTTTGATCTTTTTTCTTAAAGTATATTTTTATCACTTCAGGCTATATTCTAATTACTGTTTGTTTATTTACTCGTTTATGTTGAATACACTTTTTATCCTAATGTACCTGAATAACAAAATTGAATATTTCGTAGAGTCATCAAAGTTATTCATATAACAATAAATTGATTCATTTGGATCAACAAATCAATTTTTTCAAAAAGCAGCGAAAACAAACCAGCTACTTTGCTTTTTATTTATTGTATCCTCACATTTAAAATAGGATTTAAACAATTTAGATTATTCTATGTGGAAAGAAGCAGTGAGAAGTGGCGTTCACTTGGGTCTGTTATGAAATAGTAACTCACTTATGACAATGGTGGATGTGTCGCTCAATTTCGTGGATTGGTTAAAGTCTAATGGTTAAGTACTCGCGCGCAAGACTGTTAGGTCCTGGGTTGAAATTTTGCGAGGCGAGGTCGTGGATGCGCACTGCTGACGAGTCCCACAATAGGACGAAACGGCCGCATAATGCTTCCAGGTCTTCCATGGTGGTGTAGCTCCAAATGACTAATGATCTTAAACATTAAGATTTTTCTTATCTTACTAAGCCACTGATTTACATTGCTTGTCAAACGCAGTTAAAATAAAAGGGTAATATTTCATGAAAAATGACTTCATACTGTTTACTGAACTTGTAAATGAGGTAACGTGGTGAATAATAAGCTTTGTTTGTAGTCTATCATTTTAATAATATTTTTATTTATGTAACCTTGTAAAAGTTTAGTTGTAGATAAGTGATAGGTCCCAAGACGTTTTATTATTGGTCATACACTTCTGATTGTTATGTTCCTATTTATATATTTAAAGTTAAAGCCGAAAATTACATTTATGAACAATGCAGTTATCCAAGTTTTGCTTCGTTTTTTCTACATCCATCTTCTTTCAAAAAAGTTTGGAACTTTAAGGTATCTTACGGGTTTCATATTATGACACAGTAACTTATGGTACAAACAATAAATGTAAACTTTAACAAATAAGCACTTTGCTCCATCCTTTTTCATATGACATCTTGTGAATAGGTAATATCTCTAATGGCTTTAGATAATCCCATATGTCGTTCTAAAGAACGTTTTCAGATTAATGTGACCAGAGTACTTGTATACGAATGATATAATAATCTATTAAAATTTCATTTACAGAATCTAGATAAGTAGTTGGAGCCTTTATTAGATAAATGATTGGTATATTTCCAGCCAGTAGTAGTCTAAAACATCTACCACTCACTGAAGCGAATTGCTCTTCAATCGCGTACAGTTTTCTGGAAAAAACCAAGTTCAAATGTTATCTAACTGTCTCTTTACTCAAAACTGGTTACTACAAATTGGCTCTTTGTTTCAAAATTATCTATAGATATCTGTAATTACTTTAACGGTATTTGTCAATAATCAATTCATGTTGCTACATTATTTCAAAACAGTTTACTTGAACTCTAATATAAAGCTCATACCAACATAGAACATCTAATTCATTATCTATCACTGTACGTTTGGAAGGGATTTCTATATATGAGATCTCTGAACATGTTACTAACTTTTATTTTGTTTAAAGTACATAAACCTAAATCAAGTCTGGATGTGAAATAATTTCTATCTGTGGATCAAAATCTATTATTAAAGCGAAGAAAATTCATCGCATTACTTGATACTTAAAGCTGACCAGCTATATTTGGACACACTGTTCAGATAAAAGAACTTGTTAAAGAAATAGCCTAGATTAGTAATAAAACTTGTTAAAGTTTAAACATTTTTATGATGACTTTTTGGGACGCTATTATTATTGTGACGTATCAATGTTACCTATTAGACACCGATCCTTTGGTGTGTTTTGTAATGAAAAATACGAAATTTACTGATATTTTTGCTTGTTTTCGTCTAGTCAGTGCATCGAAAATGTCTCTTAGAAATTACTATATTCTATTTAATGTTTTTTTGGTTGTCATTGTTGAAGTATTGCTGCTACGGTGTTGATAGTCTATCTAATTACATTAGATTGAGCTTTATAGTTGGAGTATCTCATATTTTATATATTTTGAACCCAAATTATCATAATTAACTAACTTAATGTACTTGTCTTACTATTACATTACGTCGTTTATTATTTTCTTCATTAATTTGTGAAAATAATACGATAGATTCTTTTACATTTCAATATGAAATAGTATAATATCTTTATTATAAATGCCATTCATACCTTAGTATTAGTAAAACTTGAAGCTACTACCTAACAACTTTTAAAGTAAAGAATAATATCTTTGAAGTGAACATGTATGTACATAAGTAGAAATGTATGGCAAACAAATAACTTCAGTGTTGTTGACTTTTCCCTAAATGAAACAAATAATTGATCAGTAAGGTAAAATATTAGAAGTTATTGGTTTGGTGATATTACAAAAGACTATACTGATTAAATTATGACCACATGGAGATAATATAAGCATCTACAAAAAAATGAGGATCAACCATTCAATTCAAATGCTAGACTGCTAACTAAATTGTTAACTAGTGTGATAAAGTAAACATTTGTGATCCAAACATTTTGTTTAAAAAATACGATATACTTTCATACATCATGTATCCACTTTAATTATTATTTTTATTAATACTGATGTGTTCTGGAAATCAATCCTTCGGTTCGCTTAACCATTCCGTCTTAGGTCTCTACACCATGATATATTTAAGATGTGATTTTTACAAAATTTAAGTGATTTTTTTAAAAATAATTGCTTCAAAAATGATATGCTCACTTGTAGATAACTAGTTAGTAAAAATACAGCGGTTCATTCGAATAGCTATACATATAAGATTCGCACTATTCTTCCTTGGTTCATTTAAGGTTCTAGCTACAAGTTCCAAAACTGATAATATATATATATATATATATATATATATATATATATATATATATATATATATATATATATATATATATACTGATATTGGGATGTGGATAAACAGCTACTTTATTCAACTTACTAACATAATAACAGTTTATGAAAGCTTATGTGTAAGGAGAAGAAATATCTCGCACAAATTTACCATTTTTAAAATGTGGTCTCATAGAATACTTTTGGTAATATACTGAAGCAATAATTCCTTGAGATTGTTGAATAAAGCAGTAGGCACGTCCAGTCTAAAAAAAGAATAATCAACCTTTGTTCTTGTCCGGAAAAATAAACTTATTGACACATGTATTGATATTAATCAACCAACATGAGGAGTTAATACAGGTTCATATACGTTTCTTGTCATTTATCCAGTTAAACGCACCCATAAATGTTAATTATGAAGCAGATGTCAAATAAATACTATTCATCACTAAACTTTCAAAAGAAACAACATTGTTAACATGATGTTCATAATCTAGATATAAACCGGTACTTCAGATATAAGATATCATCAAATTAAAGTTAAAATTTTCCAAATTTCCTGGTATCAAGTATTATATAAATAATTAAAACAAAACATTTAACCTATGTACGCATGATTGCTAAAATCCCTTTGTTTCAATTCTGTGTAAAATCTATTGTTTCTTCATAATAAGATGGATGAAAGCAGGAAAGTCATTACATTCAGGAAAACAATAAACAACTATACACATGGTTGATAGAAAGAATGACATAGAGAATACTCTATGTTTTGCGCAAAGCATACTTGCATAACATAATGAATAAGTGATCTATCCT